AAAAAAGCTGCAGGGTGTGTGTGTGTGTGCGTGCAAAATGCAAATCGCCCTTTTGCAAAAGCTGTCCTTTCATTTTTGCTATGGCAGAGCTTGCTTACGTGATGTCTCTCTGTAACTGTTCTCCTTTGGAGCTGAAATCATCTCTTGTGCTGGTCCCCACCCAGAGTTACTGGTTTTTTGGTTTCAGGGTTTGTTTGCTTACATCTGAGCAGTTCTCACTGGCCATTTGGAGTCACAGAACTACTGGATGATACATATCCTTTATGTGCAAGAAAGTCTACGTTTTAATTATACACGTAATTATTTTAAAACCTCAGAATTGTCCAAAATAAGCTTTGAAGACTTAAAAGTTCCTTTTGAAGTCAGCAATATTGCTTACAGGTGTAAAATTACTCACACGACTAGCTTAGTGTAGGGTCAGCGACAAAACCTTTCAATTCTGCGTCCTACTTGCTTTTAAAGAGCTCCTGAGGGCTTCTGACCGTGGGGAAACGCGAGCAGGGCTGCAGCAAGGGAAGGGCGCAGACAGCGTGTGCCCTTCTCGCACCTCACCCAAGAGGCTCCAGCCCTGCTGGCTGTTGCCACCAAATCAGAGGGTGGGTGGCAGGTCCCTCTTAAATAGGTGAGCAAGACCATTCAGGAGCTGGAGCGGTCCCAGGAGAGAGAAGTGCTTGAGGCACCAAAATTTCCAGCCATGGCTTTGTGTCCAAGTCCTTTATTTGGATAGGCAGAGGGTTCGTAACATGTTTTAACTTTGCACAATGATGTCCAGTGCTGAGATGAACCTGTGCTGTGGGAATCAATATGCTCTGGTGAGTAAAAATGGGGTGAGGTGGTACAGCCCCTGTTGTTGGATACAAGACATCTAACTATCTGGTAGTTGTAGGAAATTAAAACTTACCTTGGGCACAGGAAGAATACGGAGGAGTGTGCTATGAAGGTGGACGTAACTGGTTTTCTTGTGTGTATTTATTCAGTATAACACTCGTGGGGTTAGTAGTGCTGTTTCTTGCCTATTTATCCCCTCTTTTTTGTTTTCCTTCGGAAAAAAAATAAAGCTGTATCATATTTTGATAAACTTTCAACCTGAAAAACCCGAGAAAAGCCAAAGTTAATTGTGTTTATGAAAGTGAGGTGATACTGCAGTGAAATCAGTGGTTCAAGGCTTATCTCAAATTCCACGCTTTGACCCAGATGCCTGTTTAGCTAGAGGACAGTGCCGGCACAAGAGTAATTGGGTATGAACGTATGGCCACCTACAAATTTTGGCTGGAAATTAGAGGAGGATTGTTGACCACTAGAGCAATTAGGCTGTAGAATAACCTTTTAGTAGGGGTGTTGGGAATGGAAAATCTCTCTGCTTTTGAACTGAAGCTTGTTAAAGTCATTATATGATGTTGTCTGCAATAGCAGAGGCTAGACTTGGTGTCTGAGGAGGTTGATGGGAGTGCTAAGGTGCTGTGTGACATTGACCACCCACCTTCAGATCTGAATTTCAGAGGCACCTGTCACCTATCCCAGCGGAAGGGTTTCAGTCGTGTAAAGATACTTTTAGTGCTTATTGTAGGGTGAGTTTTCTTCCCCTAGGCGCAAGGATAAGCTTTACAATTGCTTTAGTCCTAAAAAGATTACAGAGATGACAAATCCTCATGATTCAGGCCATAAATGGATTACAAGCAGGATCAAGAAGAAACTTTCCAGCGTGGGAGAGACTTTCCCCATCACTTGTGGGAGTTTTGTTCCTTCCTTCGAAACCACGTCAGGTGCTGCTGAAGGCTCGCCGTCCTCGGCCTCTACTCGTGAGGCAAGTCTCCACACTGCTGATCCTGGGGATGGCATGGTGCATGGAGGTGCTCCTGCCAGTGCTGTCTGCCTGCAGGCTGCTGCAGTGTAAAACCTGGTTCTGCAGAGCTGATGTAAGAGAGGTAACATCTACATGAAGGAGTATGGATAATAGCGAGGACTGTTGCTTTGAGTCAGACTGCATCTCAGTGTTTAAAAAAACCTTGACAAGTGAAGCCAAACTCATAGTAAGCTACCGCAGCGTTGCATTCTTGGAGAGTCAAAGCGGGCGCTCTCTTACCCTGTCCAGACTTAACTCCGTTTCTCCCTGTTTGCAGTGTCACTGAAACTCTCTCTCAATACACTTCCTGCATTCAGCTAAATACAACAAAAAATCTGTGTAACAGGTGAAGCGTTTGCCTTTTTGAGGACCCGATTCCACGGAAATACTTTGCCACTTTCGCCAGTGCTGCAGCCTTTTCACCCTCTGTAAAGCCATGTGTCTCATCAGTGGACCTAGCTGAACTACTCATTAGAAACTTGGCCAAACCACAAACATTTGTTTCCTTACTTCATGCCAAACTCCGAGAAAGGAGGAGGGAGTGGCATGGAGCTCATGTTAATGAGTTCTTCATTCCCCACAGAGAGATAATCAGAGCGCTGCTCAGAGATTCATCAACGTTTTTTATTAGCACTTTAATGACCTACATGTTTTTTTTTTTTTTTAAGGAGTTACTTCAGCTAAGAGCTAGATAATTCCTCATGCAGCTGTGGTTTAGGAAGCAGCTCTGGGGACATGCATGCCAAATTACTTTAGCTCTAGTTTAAAAAAAAAAAAAAAAAAGACATACTCTAAGGCTTCCTGGGTGCTTCTTTTTTCAATCAAGGGCATTATGTCCTCAATCCATCTCTTCTGGGTTGTGTGGGGGTTTTTGCTTTCTTTTGCAATCATTACGGCTTTGAGAGCTGTATGGCAAAAATGCAAAGTGCTAATGGCACTGTACGTTCTCCATATGCAAAGGACTTAATAGCTCTCCGAACAACTGGCAGCACCTCTTAACAGCCGCAGCGAGGCAGGCTCCATCAGGGGCCAGGAAAGGTGTTTCCGGGCATGAGCACTGAACCTCTGCAGACCACGTCAGCTTCTGTTAGACAAGTGACAGTCACTAAATGCTGGGACCTGGATGCTTTCCCCCACTGCTCCAGGGTAAAGCCCTAGTCAAGACGCCTGCTGAGGCCCCTTGCACGCGGCAGGAGACCTTGCTGCAGCGATCCGTTCATTGCCATGGGAGCGGCGGCTGGAGAGCGCTCTCATGGAGGAGGCTGCTCAGAAATTACACCGAGTTCGATATTTGCAGGTTCTTTCTCAAGAAAGTTTCGCTGTAAGACCGTTACTATCCAACTTTAGTTTTTCTCTTATGAAACCCTGAACAGTTTGAGGCCTCTGTATTTGAAGAAGTATCTCTCTTCCTGTAACAAACTGCTATGGTGGAAGTCAATAAAGGCAGCTGCTCTGGAGCCCCTTTGGTTGGAAAGGGAGAGAGCTGCTGGCCTTACGCTGTCGCTTAGGAGTGCCCTTGGCTGGAAACTGCAGCACAATTTCTTCCCATGCCGCCCCCGCTCCCCAGTGGCCACATTTCCTTCTGGTCTTCTGGAGAGATCTGTGAGAATATATACATTAAAGGCAAGGAGCTAGTCAAATACTGCGGGATAATTGGGGTCTTATAGGAGTATTATACAGGAATACTATTTACTTTTTCCTGAATCGAACCCCAAGTGTTTCCTGTCAGACTTTAATACAATGGAACACAAATGTACAGTTCATTACGTTCACGTTTCCTCCAAAGCACAGTCTCTTTCCTTCGAACACAGAGGACAGGAAAGGATGCTTTCTGCCCCCACTAGAGTCTGTCAACTGGCTTTGACTCATTTGAAAGGGGTTTTGAAATAGTCAGCGTTCACTCTCTTCAGTAGGTTGTCTCACTTCTAATATACACTGCCTTAGGATCTGAGAGGTGTAAATGTGGAGGAATCCCTTTGAACTCAAGGCGAACTTCACTGGGGTAACATCAGCATGGATGGAAGCAAAATGAGGTCCCTGGGGAATAAAATGCTGACGCTGACGCTGGGGCCAGGGGTGGGGGGGGGGGTGGCGGAGGGATCAAGATTCACACTAGTCCGGAAGAATAGTAGCTCGTATCATATTAAAAAAACATAGTTCTCATTTCCTCCTTATCCCTTCAGGACAGGAAAGAACATCCTGCTCTTCTAATATGACCAAAATACAAGTTATTTTTGGAAAACAAAAATCACATTCAGAGCACATTTTTAAGAAGACATCTCTAATCTATAATTCTGATGATGCATTTGGAGCACAGTACATCCTTTTGCAGCAAGAAATCCACAGTTATCAGCTCAGCATCATCTGAACTCAGGCAAAAGGTTTACATTCGTCCAGCAACAAATCAGGACTCCTTTGTTAGCATATTAACTGCGACTCGAAGCTAAACCACCCCCCCTATCTGGGTGTGCTGTCGCCAGACCTGCAGCGGGTGGGAAGTCCGTTACAGCCGCGTTTGTTCACCAGCTCGGGGAGAGGAGCAGGGAAGCAGCAGAGCGTAAGGTCATGGGCTCAGCGAGGGAATGCATGTGGATTCAGGCCTCGCAGACTTCTGAACTTGTACTGGACCCTGGTGTAAGCTTCCTCTTTCTTCTTCATTATCTCAAGACAAATTGGACCCAAGAGGAAGTTAGAGGCACCCTCCGCCCTTAGCAGCGACGAGCCTTTCCGCGTTGCGCTCGTTGTTCTAACTGGATCCACCAGGGAACGGGTGGTGTCATCTCCTCCTGGACAGGACTTTTGAAGTTGAGAGCATAAAGTCAAATTCAGGACCCTTTGGCAGTTTGCTGCTTCTCATATGTGGTGAATCACTCGGAAGGACAGCACAGAGATGAAATCAGCCTCAAATTTGTTAATATAGATAAAAAGTAATAATTCAGAAATACAGTTTGATTGCTGATTCCGTATCAGTAACTGATGCTTCCACTGCCCCTCTTTTGAAGCAAGTAAACATCAAGAAAATATGTTAGCATGATCTCTAACAATAAGGATAAACAAATTGTAGAGGTTAATAATTTACTGTTTGATGATTAACAAACTGCTA